GATGATAGTCTCCGTGCTTTTCTCAGAATGTACTAGCACCTTGCATTGCCTTCTTGACTCTAGCGGTTCGAGGTTGGCTGTCTTTTCCATTTCTGCAACCGGTGTTGTCTTCATTGCCCCTAGGATGATGCGTAGCCTGAGTTCTGGACTTTGTCAAGTTTGCTCTTAGTGTTTTGGAGGCTGTTGTCCATGATGTGGAGGCGTACTCTGCTGATCTGTCTTACTGTGCCAGTGTAAATCTGTTTCAGGATTTTTCATTTGCACCCAGGTTGTGCTAGCAAGCTTTTTCATAATGGATAACTTTTTGATGGTTCTTTCTTGAAGTTTGTCCTATGTGTGGGTTCCAAGTTAGACGTGAGTCGAGTGTGACACCAAGGAATGTTGTTGTTTCCACTTGGGGTACTGAGATGTTGTCCAGGGTTAACTTGATTTCCTCCTTGGGTCTTGATAGTGAGAAAAGCATGGTGACTGTCTTGGTTTTGTTGATGTTTAGGGCCAACCTGTCTGTCCATTCTGCTACCTTGTTCACAGCTGTTTGGATTCTAACTGTAGCAGTACCTACACTTGTTTCTGAGCTCCAGATAGAAAGGTCGTCAGCATGTAGGGTGTTCGACACGCATCTTGGCAGGTTGGACACAAGGTCGTTGATGTATACGAGGAACAATGTGGGGGATATTACTCCTCCTTGTGGCACCCCTTCTCTGCGATATAAAAAGAAGGGGTGATAAACAACATAAAAATGCAACATCGATTAAAAAAACAGAATCAGTACAACATCTAACGTTCTCGGAAAAGATTCCGCGGGAATTTTTAACGGACTGCTCTATTTACGGCTGATTTCTCACAGATTAATCCATAGAAATGTGTTTTGTACTAATGGTAACAAAGGCGCAATACTATACAGTACGTTTTTTTATTATTTAGGGAAAAAGCGCGTGACACAATTGCAAGCTGACTCAAATCATGGCCCGGAAGTGTACAGCAATAAACTCTTTCTCTCTAGTCCAGGGTTTACAGATGTCGATTCATACAAAAAATTTAGCAATATGCGCAGAAATTGGATAGGGTGAGGTGGGGATGGGGGCGTGGGGATTGAATTCCTTTCACTTTATGGCCTTGGCCATTCTAAGCATATTTAGAAGTTATAGTTCGGACAATTCAAATTTTGGCCTCCTTTAACATAAAAAAACCCACTTACATGTGTGAAAAATACGTACCGATATGTCTAATATTTTCTGTGAAAATTTCGTTTATACTAAGAGGCGGTTGAAAAATAGGGCTTGAGAATTTCACAGCACTTTTTTGTGCCAAATTTGTACGAACTTGTCACACACGTATGAGGAATTCGAGCGAATTTTCACACGTGGGTGTGAATATTGAGGTTCAACAAAGCTATGTATCTGATGCAAAAATTATTGTTTGAATTTCAAAAAAAAAAATACTTTCGAAATGCTTGTATGAATTAAATATGGTAATTCAGTGCCTTAAAAGCGAATAGTGCATGCACAAAATTATTGCTAAACGGATAAAACCCTACTTTAAATAGCAAAATACTGTTTTGTTGCAGACATTTTTATTCTGTTTACGTACATTATCCATGTGTATTAAATAATAGAGACATTCTATGTTACAACTTTTACGGGAATCAACCATATAATAATAGAACCAATATAATTTTACTGTTGATAAATTTTGTATAATTTCTCATAAGATAAAAAAATATACCCGTAAAGCTAAGTAACAATAAAATAAAATCAGCTCTAGAATTTGGACACCCATTGATTGCATAATAATGCTATTAATCTTTCTGCAGGGTATTTATTAATAGGTCAAGCATAGAATTTTCCCAGGCCTAATGAAAGATTACATTTGTTTTTTGTACCTTACTAACGAAGATGAGCTTGTATGCTCAATTTTCTTTATTGAATTTTGTTAAAAATTTATGTATTTGTTTTCCAATTTTTGTTGGATTTGATTCAAACTTGGAGGAAGCACATTTCAATAAATTCTGGGACACACTGTTGAACCTGATGTTTCATGTGCATATTTGAATTTTGGTATCAGTTGAGCTGTAATTGATATTTTTAAAACCATTTAACTTTTTTTCCTTTTTTTACGTAATGTCTTTGAATTTGGACCAGGATTGTAATTTCTGATGGGAATTGAATTAAGATAATTAAGATATCAACTGACTACTTTTGATATTTATGATGTCATTTGACCTAGTTGATCACGTTTTTTGATGTACCTACTTGAAATTTGGACAAGGGATTTAATTTCAGATCCTGACTTGAAATTTGATATCAACTAGCCTACTTTGGATATTTTTGATATTGCATGTATTAAAAATTTGTTGTCCCAAACTATATACTTGAAACATCTACACCTTACACATTTTGCATGTGACATTTTGTGTATTCATTCACAAAAGTTATTTAAAAAATGTTCCATCAAAATTAACCCTGCTGTAGTGGTCATTTATTATGCATTTATTTTACATAGTCTCATAGGAACACACTTTCAACATAGATTATTTTTAACAAAGCCTTTACAAAATATTAGGACAAATATTTCAATTTATATAGTGAATGATAAAATGATAGGTCAGATGAGTGATCTAGGGCCATCTTGGTCCTATTGTTTATTATGAAGGAACACAAAAAAATCAAGTGCTGTAAGTATATTACTAGAGGGGTGAGTTTAAGTTGAGCTGGACTTGCCTTTCGGCAAGTTCAATACTGAAAAACAGTTGTTCCTGGTGAGCGACTCAGGGCCATCATGGCCCTCTTGTATTTTTAAATGGTTTTATACTGTTTTGTTGTTTTATTTTTGATTTTCAATATTAAGACCAAATTTCCCATACATATTTCCAATTCTTTCCTGTGTCCTAAAATATTTTAAGAAAAATATGGAGTGCCAAATCTTTTTAACATTATTAGTCTCGATAAAAACGTAAAACCCGCATAAAACAATTACTGTTGAAGTGTTATTAACTTATTATATGTGTTACTTTATTTGGAACTTCTGGATTTTCTACACTAGGATATTGATGATCATAACATTTGCATAGTATTAAAAGAGTAAAGGACCAAAAATACTTCCCTGAGGAACACCACAATTAACAATTAATCGAGTTGATGAAACATGCACTACTTGTACATGTATTCTGTGTAATAGAAAGAGCACCGAAATACGAGGCTATCTGATTTGTACGAGGGGGCGTAGCCCCCGAGTATTAATCAATTTGCCGAGTGTTTTGGTGTTCTTTCTCTTTTGTATCATAGTCAAACATGAAAGCACGTTCCCTGTTGTCACAATATCAAACTCCGGCAAAAATGAACCAATGAACGAACATCTGAATATGACATTTCTGTCGCTTTCCCTTTCTCTGCCGTCACAATATGTAAACCCCAGCAAAAATGAGCCAATCAATGGGCATGCTCTGGAGTGCGGGTAACTAATACCCGCACTCCAGTTAACGCACTGTGCATGTATATGTATACGATTTAACCCTGACACATTTTCAACAGAAAGGTCTCCAAACTATGATACAATATTAAGATATGATATAAACCAGTCTGTATATATTGGTTATTCTTTTCCACAAGGAATACTATGATCAACAACATCCAAAGTTTTTTCTTTCAAATCAATCATTATCGTTCAAGTGATTAAACCTTTGGAATTATTCAATCTAATATGATATAACAAACGTATATATGAAGCAAGTATCAGTTGAATGTGAACTTCTGAAACCAGATAGGTATTCATACATTAAATTGTTTTAAACAAGATATGATTCTGAGTGAATTCGTATAAATCGCCGAATCGAATAAGAAAACAATATTTATTGACCAGTACTGGTACGGATATTTAACCCATTACTTCATATACACGCCTTTTAACGCCTTTTTCACCCCCCCCCCCTTTTTTGTTGTCTCAAATGATGAAAAAATGCCTTATTTAGGCCCCAAACACTTGTTTTTGTTTGAGAAATGTTGTTAAAAAAAGTGACCTCTTTTTCGGCGCGGCCCCCCAACCAAAAGATACATCAGGGGGTTGCCAGAAGGGGGATGTGCCCCCTTCTGTTTGGGGGGTTTGAAGGTGGGCGGAGTCCCCCTCATCGCCAAGAAAATTTTGGACTTGTGAGAGGCTATGAATGACCCCAGAATGATCATAAGGGAACGTGTAAGCATCGCTGAAAAGCATTTGACTCTATCTCAATCCATTGAGAAGTTGCAGCACTTGAAATCAATTTTGATGGAAAAATAAACGCAAAATAGTGATTTTTGGCAATTTTGAGATGTCCCCTCTTTGCCATGGTCCCTGAGCATGTTGTTGCAAGGGCAATGGTCCAGTCAACATTTGTGCCAAGTTTGATTAGTGTTGAAGCAGTTTTTATAGTATTATAGCAATTTGAACTTGTAACGGGAGACTTTTCAATGAAAACAGCCATTTTTCACAAAATGCTCATGAAGCAATGGGTTAAATGAAATTCTATGCCTGCAAGTCTCAGCCTTCTTCTAAACGTTGTAGGATAGAGCTTTCATGTATAAGAATAGCCATTGATATGAGTTCATAAGGTTCAAAAAATAATATATTTATGCACTTCCATTTTCTTCCCTTAAACTATTGCATCCTTCACATGTTCAAATATTACTAAAACATTTCTTAGCCGGAAACTTTTCTAATCTGGAAACTTTTCGTCTAGTTCGGACGAGTTCTGATTAGACAGGTTCCACTGAAAATGGGAAAAAATATTGTTATACTCTCTTTAATAAAGAATACAATGAGAAGTTTTTTGTATGATTTAATTTATTTATCATGTTATTTTCGAACTAACAGGAGCAAATCGAACTGGCTGTACAGTACGGGGCTGACTTTATTGTTGCAGAGACATTTAATCATTTAGGTGAGGGAATGCTTGCACTTGAGTGTATTAAGAAATACGGCAACGGTAAGCAATAGTTCAGTTATGCATGATATTTTTGCACTTGCAGGAGCAAATCGAACTTGCAGTACAGTATGGGGCTGACTATATTGTTGCAGAAACATTTTCTCATCTTGGAGAGGGAATATTAGCACTCGAGTGTATTAAAAAGTACGGTAATGGTAAGATTTTTATGGTTAATTATTTTTCTAGATGTTTGAAGATATGTTCACTTTAATCGAGATCATTAAGTCTGCGAACTGCTTAAAGAATGGTAAATGTTTCGTTGTTGTTAAGGTAGGTAAGTCGGCGAATTGCTTCAAGAATGGTAAATGTTTCGTTGTTGTTAAGGTAGGTAAGTCTACGAATTGCTTAAAGAATGGTAAATGTTTCGTTGTTGTTAAGGTAGGTAAGTCGGCGAATTGCTTCAAGAATGGTAAATGTTCCATGGTTATAATGGTTTTCGTTTCTAGTCAACTACGTGTAGTTTGCAAGTAAAGATAAGCGTAACAAACCATTCTCTCTTACCTTTTCCTGCTTTGTTTCTTAAATGGTTTCGCCAAACTTCAATTGCCAAAACTGTTCTTCATTAATTTTGAATATATCCAGATGAAAATGTGTTGTTGGTCAGCCAACCGTATAGAGCAAGGTCAGAACATTGAAATGTTTAGAGGAACTTTTGCTGAAAATTTGTTAACAGTTTCTGTGATTACAACACGCCTCCAGAATTATGTAAATTGTTTCAACGGTAGTAAATGTTTTCAAATGTAAATTTCCAAGCTAGTACGCAAAATAGTAGGCTTTATCATATTTTGCACAATTTATCCAAAGGAATCAGAATACGTATTTATACATTTTTGTAAAAATATCAATATAATTTTTTTTATTCAGATATTGTTTACTCAACTGGAGGCAAGCCGCTTGCAGTCATTTTTATAATACAGTTATTCGTGTTTTTGTTACAAGGTGTGCCTGCCGTGATAACGATGTCACCTCCGCCTACTCATTTTGTGGACGGTGTGAAGATCGCCGAGGGATGTAAACAGTTGGAGGACGCCGGGGCGGCAGTTGTAGGCCTGAACTGTGGTATGGGACCTGAAACCATGTTACCATTGATGAGGGAAATTAGACAAATATGTAAGGTATGTTGACATGTAGAGAAAATAAGTATATTGCAGAATGTTCTTAACACATGCGCAATCTGTATGGAATATGGTCCTACGCAAAATCAGTAGCAGACGAATGAAAACTATATATGTGTAAACAGAATAAAACCTTTCCGAACAAAATATTATGGTGCAATTTTAAGTAGTTTTTAAACAGTTAAGCAAATTTCTCGTGCAAGCGCCATTCAATCAGATGGAAATATACCAACATTTTTCTTTCATTCAGGCATTTTGAAATTATTATTTTTAAAATTCAAACAATTCTTGACCTTAACTGTTCACTCTAAAGACATATGCTGGACTCACGAAATAATACATGTATAAGATGATGTTTTAACTTTTTATATTCTTTGTCTATTTTGCACGGCGTTTAAAGTATTATTAATTGGGTTTCACCGATTTCAAACACGTTTTAATGTAAATTTAAAACGGCAGTAAATTTTCTGTCATTAAATTCGCAGGGTCCAATTGCTGCTTTGCCGGTGACATACAGGACTACACCTGAAGAACCAACTTTCTTCTCGCTGACCATTCCAGGATCTAGTATGTTTTTATTTGGCATTTAAACATCTGAATATTAACAAATAAATTGCCACATTCTAACAAAAACTTTATAATTTGTAGTTCATTTAAATATTAAGTACCTTTGCTAGAAGCGGCACAGCCAATGAACAGAATTCGCAAGGAGATGCTATTTTCTATGGTTGTTTATTTTGTTTCCTCGATAAAAAAAATGAAATCCTTAATTTGATGTGAAGAAGATTGTTTCAAACTAGTAAAATATTTGTGCTGGTAAATTGTACGGTTATAAAGTTAAACCATGTTATTTTCCAGAAAAGCGAGCGTTTCCGTTAGACCTGTGCGCATGTATCTGCAGCCGTCAACAGATTGCGGAGTTCGCCGAGCAATGTAAAGAAATTGGCGTGCAGTACGTTGGTCTGTGCTGCGGTAATTCAGCGAACATGACCCGCATTGTTGCCGAGGTGTATGGTCGTACCCCACCTGCTAGCAAGTATTCCCCGGCTATGGAGAAACATTTCATCTTCGGAGATAAATCTAAGTTTAAGAGCGGCTTCACTGAAGATTTGAGAACACATGTTGGAGGACAATTTGATTAGATCTTTTTTTATAAGTAATAGACATTTAACAGGTTATTTTGAAATTAACTTTTAAAAGACATTAATTTGAGTGATGTATTTTTTTTTCAGAAAAACTTGTAAATGCTATTTATCATTTTAACAAAATTTATATACTTGATCATGATGTAGAATCATTTACTAAATGTGAAATAAAACCTTTTTGTGAAATATTTTCAATGTTAAATATGTATTTCTAATATCAACTCAGGGAAGTTTAATTATAATACTGATTAGTTTTATTTGCGTACATTCATATTTTAGTTCGAAGGTAATGAAATCTTATTTGAACCATTTAAGAAGTCGCTTACTGGAACTAACCATGTGTAACTATCATTAAACTTTTTTATTTTGATATCTGTCTCATATCTGGAGATTTTCATTGGACTGTGCACGTTCTGTGTCGATTTTTGACCAATCATATACCAGAGTTTAAGCTTGGAAAATATCTTAATTATCCTGGACCTTGTACTGGTCATATGATCAACATATGATCAACAATGATGGTCGGGAACCAATGTTCGAACCCATGATCTCTGTGTTAACATATTAACCACTATGTCAAAGGGCTTAATTTATACAAAGTAAGAAAATGGACTAATTGATATAAATTAGAAAGGGACATACTATGAAGTTAAGAAGTCGCTTAAATGGTATTCAATTAGAAAACCCAATGGTAACGTTAAAAACATGCCTTCAGCAAGGAATGTAAAATGTTGTAGGGCCAGTTAGAAGGGCCAAACTAGTATAAAGTTAGAAATGGACTTATTTGATTTATTAAAATAGAGCCTTATGGGTATAAAGTTAACAATAGTTTTGACTGATAATAAGATCTCTTCGTTATGGGTCCCTACGTAAATTCAAACAAATAAGATCATTTCTAAATGATACCATATACAAGTAAGAAATTGTATTAAGTGTTTGGTACATTGTTACAAAGGGGCCCATTTACTACCTATCAGCTAGTCTTATTGGTGTCAAATAACAAAGGGACCAATATTGGTTTACGTTAGAAATGGTCAATATAATATGAACTAAAATAGGAGCCCATATACAAGTTATAAGTTAGAATTTGTCTTACTGGTATCTCATTAAAAAAGGGACCCATATACTTGGTATAAGTTTTTAAAAAATGGTGAACTTGGTATAGTTTCAGAAGGATCCAAATACTTGGTATAAGTTAGAAATGGTCTTATTTGTATAAATTTACAAAGGAACCCATATGCATTTATTTGGTATAAGTTTGAAATGGTCTTGTTTGTATGAAGTTACATTGGAACGTTTAAGTTTTGAATGGTTTTATTTGTATACAATTACAAAGCAACCAATATTCTATTAAACATTGGAAATGGTCTGATTTGTATAAAGTTACAAAGCAAACAAATTAATGATCCCCTGTGGCGGAGCCAATTTTGACCCCAGGGCTTTTATTTGAACAAAGGTGGTAAACACTCAATAGAAGATGTTTCGTGCTCTAGCTCTTTGGGTTCTTAAAAAGAAGATTTTTAAATTTTTACTATATGCAAATAGGGAAAATCAATGACCCCCAAGGGCGGGGCCAATTTTGACCAAAGGGATTTTATTTGAACAAACTTGGTAGACACTCAATAGAAGATGTTTCATGCCAAATATCTAAGCTCCAGCTCTTTGGGTTTTTTAAAAGAAGATATTTAAATATTTTCTTTCGGTTGCCATGGCAACCAGAGTTCTGCATGGAATTAAATTATTTGAACAATTTTTTTAAAGGTGACCACCAAAGGAACATTCCTGTGAAGTTTGGATGAAATTGGCTTAGTCGTTTATGAGGAGATGTCATTTGAAGTAAAAGTTTACGGACGGACGCCAAACGGACGCCTGACGAAAAGCGATCACAAAAGCTCACCCTGTCACTGTGTGACAGGTGAGCTAAAAACAACATCATGCATTCCTTAATGATAAAACTTAAGAAATGGACCTTATTTGTACATCAACAGAAAAATGCACAGTTCGTTGATAAATGAATCTTTTGCTTTAATTTCAAAATAAAATTTGGAAGTCTAGGTTTTACAGTAACTGGGCACAATGGGAAACTTGTAACACAAGATACTTCCAAAAAACAAACTAAGAATATCATTCAATGATTTATTCTGTCAAGCAACATAAATTGGATATCGATTCAATATTTTACTGCATGGAACCCAACAACAAAATTTACTTGGTCCATCAGTATACAATGTTTAATTATTGTTTACTGGGAAATAAACAACATAATTAATAAATATCAAAACACAACTATTAAATCACATACATGTACCAGGTTCTTTATGAAAATAAAATTTCTAGCAAGTAAATGCTTAAAATGATGGTAATTCTTAATAATTTACTTAATAAACTGTCAAAAAAATCAGTGAAAATTAAACAAAATTGATCTTAATCATAAAGTAATTCAATGATAAAGTACACAAAATATTGTATGTTAAACACTTTTCCTGCTAAATATCTTAAAATTGGCATGCCCATCTGCCAATGTAAACAAAAGCAAATCTCAGTTTTAGGAAATATTTCACAGAAATTACTGACTGAACACGAAAAATTGCTAACCATGATACCATTGCATGGGTAAATTGCCTGCCCTGTCACATTCTTAATAAATGGTCACATAAACAAGAGCTGTCCGTAAGACAGCGCGCTCGACTTTTTTATTGCTTGCCAATAAAAAAAGTTTTTGCAGTAAAAGGCAATACAAGAATCTCTGTATTTTTAAAGTGAACAATGGCCATGAGCATTAAGATATTTAGTGAAGAATTATTTTATTATGACATAATTTATGGTAAAGTGAACAAGTGGATAGGAATGAATTTTTTTAGATTTTTTAAGTTTTTTAGTGCTTGCCTATAATACAAAACATTGACAGTTAAGGGCCATAATTCAAATAAAATCTTTGACAGAATTACCTTCTCCTGGACATGTTTGGGAATCATGATTGTAAACAAGTATTCCAACTTTCAAATTAATATCTCAAACAGTTCAGTCAAAAAGTGGACTGGTACTAAAAACTTAACCAAGATTCTAAGTCGATAAAAGGCCTTAATTTTTAAAACAAATCCTTGACAGAGTTACCTTCTCTTGCGTACAGATGGGGGTAATGATGTGAAATAGCATTAAAAGTTTCAAAGCAATATCTCAAAGGGTTAAGGCAATAAGTGGATTTTACCCATATTCAATGTATTTTCTAAGTCAAAAAGGGGCATAATTCTGTCAAAAACCTTGACAGAGTTATGTACTCTTGTCTGTAGATGGAGGTTATGATGGTGAACAAGTATGGTAAGTTTCAAAGCCATACTTGTAATACTTCTGAAATAAAGTGGGGTGGTACGAAAAACTTAACCAAGCTCAATACACTTTCTAAGTCAAAAAAGGGCCATAATTCTGTCAAAAACCTTGACAGAGTTATGTACTCTTGTCTGTAGATGGAGGTTATGATGGTGAACAAGTATGGTAAGTTTCAAAGCCATACTTGTAATACTTCTGAAATAAAGTGGGGTGGTACGAAAAACTTAACCAAGGTGTGACGCCAACGCTAACGCCGACGCCGACGCCGGGGCGAGTAGGATAGCTCCCCTTTTCATAGAAAAGTCGAGCTAAAAATGAAACAAAAAATCTTAAACTAAACACAATCAAACAGAACATTTATAACTAAAATCACTAAAATTTATTGCACTTCAATATATTATAATTTGTAAGCACTTATTCTAAATAAAAGGTATGTACATTTGTAGCCCAAACTTTTAAAATTTTTAAACATTTGATTCTTGTAAAGTATTACCAGCAATAAAAAAATCAAGCATATTTTTAATTGCTCAAAGTGTTTCATAATTTCAGTACTTTTCACAGTCTCAACTTGGTTAAAAAAAACTGGTTTAGGAAATGATTAAATGATTAATATGACAGTTATTGCCTTACTAGTTCACCTGCCACTAGTATTGAACATGGGTATCTACCACCTTACACAATCAAGGTATTTACCACCTTATACACACAATCAAGAAAGAAAAAATATCATGAAACGGTACAAAATTAGTTTATATACTTAATCACAATGTGAGATGAAGGATATACATTGCCCATCCCTGTGAGTGATATGAAATATATTTCACTGACACAATCCTGGATTTCATAAGGTAAACAAATTAAAGTACTGATATTATTAAATTTCAATAATTATACATAATTATGATAGAAAAAATAATTTTCACAACTAGAACACATAAAATATACAAAAAACATGTACATGATAATGTACTGTACTGTATCAATTCTTCACAAATTATAAGTTCAAACTAAATTGTATCTTTATACACATTCAGTTCAGCTGTCTAGAGAAACTCCTTTCAGGAACAACAAAAATATTTAAGCCGTGTCACGACAAAACCATCATAGTGCATTTGCGACCAGCATGGATCCAGACCAGCCTGCGCATCCCTGCAGTCTGATCAGGATCCATGCTGTTCGCTTACAAACCCTATAACAAGTAGAGAAACTAATAGCGAACAGCATGGATCCTGAGGGTGTTGTTCTGCAGAAGGTAAATAAAAGCTCACTGTTTTACTCTAACAAAGAAAATAATAATTTGTCATTCTATATCTTAATAAACAAACATTTTTTTTAAATCAACCCAAATACAGACAATCAACCCAAATACAGACATTTTGCAATATTATTGACAAAAATTACACATTCAACAATCAACTTCTTTAAAAAAGAAGAAGAATAAACAAGATGTATGTTTATTTTATACTCAAAACAAATAAATAGCAAATCAAAGTTGACGACCCAAATTAGGGGCAATTTGCAATAATTGACAAAAAAAACAACAACATAATTACACCTTTCAAATATTATAAATAGAACAAACATTTGTGTAGTAAAAAGTCAGACCTAAAACTGGAAAATATACCAAGACGTAGGTATATCCTTCTATCACATAAAAATGAGCAATTTAAGAATAAAAAAATATAATATTATATCACTTTAAAAACTTCAGGTTTTTCCATCATTAAAAAAAATCACTGTTTAAAAACAATCACCGTATTTCTCCTCGAAGTGCTTATAAATGTCACGCAGGCATTGAGAGAAACAGAAAAAATATTTGCATCATGTTGTTAAAAATTCAAATCTCTCACCCAAGCCTTCAGAAAAAATCTTGTTCAACAGCATATTCAATTCCAGGACTAGGTGCCTTAAGCCCTTTGATATGTCTTAATAATGGTCTCTTGTCATTGCTGAACACCATTAACTATGTCTATATAACATTAGATATAATTCAGTGTTTCTCCCCATAGAAAACACCCCATCGCTGGTCAGTTGTACGATTTAGTTTATCCTTCCATCCATTTACAATATAATCAAAATCTTCTTGAGAAAATTCCTGAAATACAGAATAAAATTTCCAAATTGTAAACCAGTCTAAAAATTCATCAAGCTGATTGGTTGATTCAAATCACAGATTTGAAATTGACCAATGGTTGCTTCCGACTGTAGATTGGTTTCTAATATAGAATAAGAATTTTGTATGAGGCATAGACTTGGCAATCAAATTTGAAATTTCTTTATCAGATAGAATCTCATAAGAGGCTGCTGATTGCATAGATTTATTCATATTTGTAACAGTATTCTTGGCAAATGCAAAAAGTGTCTGACCAAAATTTCATTCTAAGTAGTTTACAAAATAATAAATCATTAACTCATGTTTAATTAGTGACTACATGTTAACATTAATAGATTTTTAGGTGGGGGGGGGGGGAGTTGCATCAACAGTTTAATGGTCATAAAGTGACTTATTTCAGAAATGAAAAAGCACCTGTGTAGAATAATGGAAATGCCACAAGCAAGCTGAGCCTAAATAGCTTTCCCACATGAAAGAATTCAAAGTCATTGGCAATACATAGCTTAAGCACATGACTTTACTTACAACAACATCCCTACAATTCGGTGACATGTGTTACATTGACACAGTGACATTTGAATGACAAAATAGATCACTAAAGGGTTGACAATATAGGTCTTTCATACAAAACTTTTATATAATAACCTATTTAATAAGCCACCACAACCTAACAGTGCAACAGTTATCACAAAATGTCATCATGTTAACTTTGCAGGTCAAGTAAGGCTATATATAAAGACGTTTGTTTCCAGTCTCCCTTGGAGCCCTTATTTTTCAGCACAAATTTTAGACTTTTTTCATTTGCCTTACATCTTTCCATTACATTATATCAATAAGTTAAATAATATATCTTATAAAAAAAAATCCTACACATTATCCACATATTTTGTTGAAGACCACAAATCAAATGTTTAAAAAAATTGTCTTGCCTAAAACTTTGAAGATAAAACCAAGTTGAAATACTGTAACACAGCTCATAGCTTTTTTGTTTACACAGGAATGCAAAATTTGTATTTAAGAATGTAAGTATGTCAGATACAAATAAAAGTATGAAATAAAAATCTTGGTCAACTTCTATATACCTATTAATTAACCTTCAGCTACCTAGTGAAAATGAAATATTAATTCTAGGCTAGGCTGAACAAAAAAACAACAGAACTATTATAGCCTTGAATATATGCATGTAATGCGTGACCTAGATGCATGTTGCATAGTGCCACAAAAAAATTCTACCATAGGAAAATACCCAGTACTTTTCCATATCTTATTTTAGAAAAGGAAAAGATATATCCAAGATTTAACCCTTAACATGTTAAATTTGTGTAATTAGTAATTGTATAATCCCCTGCTTTTGATTTAGAACAGTCAATTCCAATTTAAAGGGATTTTAATATCAAAATACTAAACTTGAGCTACAAACAGTTTAGAGGTCAAAAGTGCCAGTTTGCCTGGTTCTAACCTGCTATCAAAGGCATATCACTTTTGGTTTCAGTAAGTTAAAGGCTAAAATGGGGCTATCTAATCTACGTATAATGTTACAATCATTCAAGGTTGCAAAGTCTGGCAGGTTTTTTTCTTCTTCAATGTATACATTAGTCAAAAAATCAATTCACAGTATTTCTTAAATCATATCCCAACTGTTATCTTCTCGGCATTACCTAGTTGCTTTAGTTTTTGAAATTACATAATTTCATGTAACTAGGCATGTAAAAAAAAGCCAGCCAGAGTGAGTGAGAAATAATTTAGAGTCAAGTCTTCTTATCTAGATGATTTTAACCCTTGTCATCTTTAAATCAAAAGTGATTAGCCTTAACATACTTTATGCTGTTGGCAACTTAATTTTTGTGTTTTGATATTAAAATTCCTGAATATTTAAATACACTGTTAAAATGTTTTAAAAAATCCAAAGACTTCCGCATGTTAAGGGTTTAAAGCGAATGCAGTAACTCAATATTTACCTGAAGGAATTCTTTTTTAACACTTTCTGCCACAACCAATTCTTTTTCTAAACTTCGTACAAATAAATCTGTCCTGTCTTGAGCTTTTACGTTAGAGAATCCAGCAGCTTCCAAAACCTACAGTAAAGAAAATAAAATGTTACATTTTGTCAAATACAATAAACTCCACTTATAATGATATCATTACCGTTTATAATGATAAGGTCTTGTAAGGATGCTATTGACGTGGTTCCAACACTTGTTATCAAATTGGTTGCCTCTCAGATATACAATGTAATGAAATCCCGATATAACGGTATGAATTTGGTGGTCCACTGAATATCTTTACAAGTGGAGTTTGCTGTAGATTGATCTTCTATTAATGCAATGTCTTAATCTGATCAGATGAATCATAAAGATTTTTGACATGTTATCAAGATGGTTCAGTATAAACAGCTGTGCAGTTATATAACCCACTTAAGGTCATTTAACAAACAGTAGAGCTATATAACCCACTTAAGGTCATCTAGCAAAATAAACAGTACAGTTGACACAAAATACTCAGGCTCAAGTCCAACCATACATCAAAAATTAAGAGAAAATTTGTTTTTGTATTATTACAATAGTTTTATTTCTGCCATGAAAAGGCACAGACGTTCTGTAAGCTAGCTGGATAGCTACCCCACATGAAAGAATCCAAAGTACCTTCCTGGATTCAAACCCACAGTGGTTTGTAAGACAATGACCTTATCCACATAGCCACAGATGTCCCATCCGTACTGAGCTAAGCTCGTTACTTGGCCATAAAAGCCTATAACTATAATATAGCATCACTACATAAATAAGAATTACCTCCCCATATCTCCTAGGTGATAGTAGATTGTATCCTCTCTGTTTAACATAAGATCTGAAATGTTCCGAATGTTCACCATCGCTACAACAATAATCTGAGATGAATACCTTGCCCCCTACCTTCAACCATTTCTATAATATAAACATAAAATTATACAACACAGACTTTAATAAAGGTAAGCTTGAATAAATTTTGTTTAATGTTTCTTAAAAACACAATGAAAACAGGTAGATTTATTGAAAAGATACCATTTCAAAAACAGCTCTACTCTTATGATTTACCAATATACATGTCTTAATTTTGTAAATTATAATTATTTTTAGAAACTAAATAAAATAAGACAAAATTCTGTATAACAAATAACAGAAAATAGATCTTATAGTGCTTTTTTGCTTTTAAGAATATAAGAACAACATGACAGGATAACTTTTGAAAATTCTTTACATTATATTTTGCAAGTAACAGCTTAACCTTAAAAGAAACTTTAAATAAATTAATCTAATATTAAAAGCACTCAACTGAGGTCAAAAGGTCTTAAAACATAGACTTTAAATTTCTTACAAATAGATTAAAGATCCTGTGTGTTTTGTGATTGATATTTTTACTGTGTGTATACCACACTTACAATAAATTATATATGTATATAATTATGCAAATAAATTTTTTTTCAAACATCGAAGAATATGTAAAATATGTACTGCAAATATTTGTGCACATTATATGTTATCAATAAATATATGCACTCATTTCTTATTGGAAAGTTTGACTTGAAATTTATAGAAAATAAATTTCTACCCCCTTTATTTACATGAAGTGTTAAGTTCGGTATTATCTTTATAAATAATGCTTATTGGAACTTACAATATTGATAAATATTAGTTTGAGCATCATATTTATGAAATTAAACCATAAAAAAATTGTGTCACAGGATCTTTAAGTAAAGTGCTTAAAACAGAAAATTCTGTGAAGGATAATAAAGAAATATACTCAGAATTAAATTAAAGATGTTTTTTTGTATAATTCTTAACCAGATTTGAGCGAAAATGTCATTTTTGGGTCATTTTGCACAATAAAATTGACTGTTCTGGAAAAACAAGTTGAGGACTTGAAAATTTGTAAACAAGTCACTGATCTAGACCTACATAGTACTCTAATCTCAGAACAATATTCCAAGTCCCGTCATGTCAAAATACCTCGGTGGAGTTCCTTTAATAAAGTTTGAAAGAAATATGAAAAAAAAAACTCACAAAGAATTGTTTAAATAATGCAAGTTTATCAGCTATATGTAGAATAGTGTCTCTACTATATATAACGTCAAATGACTCGGGTTTATATTCCCGTCTTGTAGCATCGGCAATCTCAAACTGTACTTCCTGTGGGAGAAAAGAAAATAAAGATATTTTATAAATAGTTTATCTAAAAGTAACATAATTCATTTAATCTTTAAATTTAAACTGAAGGCCACTTAAAAATAATTCACAACATAAAAGCTTTGTGACAGGCAAAATTTAAATATTCTTTAATGATAGCCCTACAGCAAGAATGTATCAAAAATTACTACATATCAGTATGACATGCACAATAGTTTTTCCCCTCTTTTTATTTATTTAACTTTAAGTCTACAGGCGGCAACAAAATCTAACCATGTGATCAGTACAGACCAAAATTCATGCCATCTGATCATGGTCTGCACTGTTTGCTATTCAGTCAGTATATTTATTTTTTTTCATTTTCCCTAATAATGATGAATTTGTCAAGATGGGCCAGTCCATTTATGATATTCAGCTGGATAACAGTTTAAGATAATCCGGTGAAATGGAAAGTACTTATACTATCATAATAAACTTACTTCTTCAGACACCCCCACTTCCTTGGCTCGTTCTAACCCAATGTTGATCATGTTAGATGATAAATCTATTGCTACAACTCTAACACCAAACTCCTGGAAAAAAATCAGCATAAATACAATAAATGAAAAAGGATTAGTCCATTCAAGGTTTAAGTTATTTCAATATCAAAATACAAAAATTGTGCCATCAACAGTTTAAAGCATGGTCAGAGTTCACAGTTTTGCAGGCTGGTCTGGCTCTATACTTTTGGCAATGGCTAATTACTTTTAGTAAGAACAGGTATAGTGTTAACCTAATTTAGAATTATCTGTATTAGCAATGTTAATAGGCTATTTAACACTGTTTTAGAGTTTTTATAGTTAGGTACTAGCCATTAGGACTATAGACCTCAAGTGATTTACTCATACTTATGAAAAATAAGTGTTTCATAGCCACAAAACACTATTAAGACTACAACTAATGTTATTTTACATGTTTATAAACAGTTATATATGTATCAATATCTTAATTGTGAATTAACCATTCGTCTGCTGTCCATGACTGAAACTATACATGCCACCAGTGCAGACAAAAACCACCTGGCACATCAGTGGCACATCCTGGAACCAACCAGTACTGAACAATGCATGTGAAAAGTTTCTTGTTCAATGGAACAACAACTTTCTCCTGACATAGTTTAAATGCACACAGCCAGCAATCCTTAGATGACTAGTCTGATGTGTTAACCAATAAGCCATGCCACTACCAAATGTTTTTAAATTGATGTCTAAAAATCCTGCAATCAGGAATAATTCAGAAAATTTCTCAGATAGTTGAGATAAAAGTTATGTTGCTTCAATTAGTGATATGTATACTACTGTATGTACTAAAGCCAAATTTGAAATCCGTTTTCAGCCTACCTTGACCATGTAGAAGGCACTGCCCCCTATACCACATCCTACATCTAACACAATCTGTCCTGGCTTTAGATCTAACTGTGATACAAATTCCTGTAAAATAACAAAGCAGTTTTATAACAGGTGCTACCAAACATCAAATTAAACTACATTTTATGATAACTTATATATTCCATGTGAGATCTTCCATTTTAATTTGAAAATGCTGTTACATTTTCATAACTTTATAAGGATCACACCCAGAGATGAGTGATTCCAAGTCAGGTTCTGTAGCCAGATAGCTACAGAGGTCAGACAGTTAAACAAACTTAGCCACAGAGGCTGACCCACATAAAATATTAACCGTAGAAGACCACCCACTAACAAACTTAACATCAAGGTCAGCTCAATACAGTTCAATTGCAATAAAAATATCTCAGTGTAGAATGTCTTTCTGGTTTGAAAGAGCTCAGTCTGTATAACACTGCACTCCAATTTTCCACCACTTCTATTTTTATGTCAAAGAAATTGATAATAAACTACTATCAAAATTATGACTAGTAGTAAAAATTATGTAATAATCTAAAACTTTCATGAAATTCTTTTTTTTATAAGTGCTTAAAGTCTAGTTGAAGAAAAAATGTTAAGAACAATCAAAACTATCAAAACATTAGTCAAAGATTAAAAGATCATACCTTTGTTGTATCAAGTCCGCCAGTGCTCACAAACGTTCTACCGAAGATTTTCTCATATCGTAGAACACCATTTGCTGAATACTGCTGATTGTCCAGGAAGTCCTGGAATGTTGCGTAACCATGACTATCACTTGCCTTCCTTCTACATTTCTGTAATAACCAGATTACCTGGTTCTCATTGTTCTTCATCTGCAATACAAAATGGGCCGGAATTAGTGAAAATTATACTTGTGTGCTATTCTGAAAGGAGGGTGTATTACAAATGTCTATTTTGTAAAACTATATTTCTATAAGCCCACAGAATAACTGTGAATGCAACTTCATACAAGCAGTAGATTTCTTCCCTATCATGAAATGAGTGAGACTAAAAAAAGGGTTGGAGCACCACACTTTATACCGTATTCAGGTATATACCAGACAAGGCGCTTGAATGATTAAATGATAAAATCTCGCCTTTACACCCAATGGAATGAATTTTAATATGTCTAATCTATCTCTACACACCAATTTATATAAGATAATGAATAAAAAAATGTAAGAATTGGCGAAAAAAACACTATATCAGATTCTGTCTATTTTGTGACCATGATTTCTGCAAGCATCTAGAGGTACTGCTACAATCCTATATTAAATCCTGTGTTAAATCCTCATGGTACCACCTTGTTTTGTTTTCACAATATTTGTAGAGATAGGATGAGACTGATGAGACCTACTCAAATCAATTATCTGCTACATTACCCCTTAACACAAAAGCATATCCACTGAAAGTGTTACAAACTTACTTTTATGTAGGACGTGAGTGGTCTTGACAACACGAGTTCAAATCCAAAAACTTCATCTTCATTTTCTGTGGGAACTGTGAGCATGGTGAACATTGCCATGTACAGAGCCGGGTCACGGTACTTTGTTGGATTGTTTTCCCGCTTTTTATTTCCTTCAAATAAAAAACAACAATGCTACATAATATATGTAAGTAACTAACGGAATATTTTTAATCATTTTGATGGTTAATTTTATACAGAAATCAATTTTCAAAAAAATCAAAAAATCAGTTTCATGAATGTACTGTTACTTTTATATTAAACTATCAATCCCTGTGAAGGGTACATGTATATCTTTTTATAATATTATTTCTACCAACCAAATAATAAATAAAAATGAATTCTGCACAAAATAAATAGAATTGATTGAATGAAACTATGAGAAAACAATAAAAGTAGATTTGGTATTACCCAACTAAAGCATTTAACATTCGTTTAGTAGGTGGGCATAAATTACTTTTACTTATTTATGCCAAACAAGGAAAAAAGCTTTTTCTTTTCACTTCTTTCCTTGTCAAATTGTTGAAGAAAAAAAAAACACTTTTTTCTTTTCTTTTTTCAATGTAACTACAACACACAAACACACACACACACACACACACACACACACCACCTTTCAATGAAGAACAAAAATAAATGTAAAAAAAATTTAATGTAAGAAAATTTAACGACCTGTCAATCTTTTGAATTGAAACACATACTTGTTGAGAAAAAATATATAATTACTTTTTTTCAATAGAAGAAAAGACTGGAGTTATCACAATAACATGAATGACCATTTGAGACTCTGAGTCCAATCCATGATGTCTTATTAGTGGGAGTCACCTTGATCTAAGAGTATCATTCATCTTTATAATTTAAAAAAAACAAAAACTTTTTAATTTCAAAGCAATATAATAGGGAAAGTTTGTGGGGGTTTTCTTTAAAGAATGAAAAATGGGGGAAAAAATATTCCAAAAAGAATAAAAATGTAAACATTTAATTAACAGACTGAACATAATAATCAAATGGTATTAACTAAATGTTCTAATTATAGGTAATTTTAGATGACAATAGATTCCTTGTTTTTCCGGTGGGGGGGGGGGTGATTTTAAAACATTTTAGGTTAAATCTCAGCAGCTGATCCACCTTACCGGCACTCCTGGATAACTAACCAGTAATTACCAATTTCTCCACAAGTGACAGACAACTTCTCCCACATGACTGCTGTACCAGGGGTGAGAGACATATTACAAGTAACATATCAGTATAACCTCAATGACATTAAATAGACAAATAAATTCAGGGTTAACAAGTCAATTTAAACAGTTCACAAGTATCTCATTTTTACTGGACATGACATCATTCCCAGTGGTTTAAATACGAGGTCACAACATGAGGTCATAATGTACAAAATGTCACAAAATGTAGCCACACTGTATGTGAGGTCAAAAAATGAGGTCATAATATATATTGATAATATGTCATGTATATTATCAGCCTTCACATTAATTCTCATATCCCTTTATCTTAACACATGAATAGTTAGTTACCTTTTGTCAGAATATATGTCAGCTCATGTCTAACAACAATGCTTTGTTAGTGATAAGCTTATCACATGGAGAAAAAAATGAGGGAGTAGAGACTTAATATCTGGGTTATCTGCCTTTGATCTTACAAAATTCTCCCTTTTTATGATTAAAACTCACATGATGGAAAATTTCAGGCATGTGTCAACATTTAACCCAACTAAATGAAAAAAAAAAAAATAGAACAAGCTTTGGTAGGTGTTTATTATTAAATGTCAAAATATAAATGCCAACAATAACTGTTTAAGGCAACATGTCTAGATATTATATTTATTTACTGTCTGACTCAAGAGGGGTGATAGGGTCTCAAAAATAAACAGTCCAGTCCTACAATAACACTTATCAGTGATATTTTTTCTTAAATTTTTCCCCTTGCCAAAAATAGGTATATTTTCCCCTAAAAATTCTTTATTTTCCCCAAAAAATGCATATTCTTCATGACAAAACAAGAATTGGCTGATGGCAGCTATTGGCTGAAAAATGCTTTCTCACACACTGAATCATTTTCTCTCACTTTTACATATCCTCATTGCATAACTTTTATGATTTTTTTATTTTATTCATTTTCTATTTTTTTTTTTCACTAACATTTATTTATGAT